TCCTCCAATAGCCAGTATAATTATTTCAAACAACTAAAACTCCACCAGGAAAATTTCATGACAATCAAAATAATATATTGACCGTGCTCTACAATGATTGTCCGCCTTTGAAATGTTTATGAAGAAACTTGAAAACGTCAACGTTAAAAATTCATGATGTCTTCTATCCATAAGTAAATCTAAGTTTTACTTGATCATGCTTTATGTGAAATAAGGTCAAAGATGTTATGTTCAGGAGCCCTATTATTATCCTGTCATCAATCTGACACTTCAAAGCTACTTCGATTTTAAGTTTTCAAATTCTTTACTTCGAGCTCATGATCATCTCTTACATATGATTTTATCTTCATCAGTTGACTAGAATATGATTAGCATCATCATATTCTCCAAGTGGCCATGTCTTAACATAAAAGTAATAACAAATTTACCACCTGCATTTTCAATGGAACCCCCAAGGAAACTCAAAGGTTTCATGAAGTTTTATTATCCTAATCTCTTTGACTATCAATACGGCTGCAGATCCTCAACTCAAATTTCTTTGGCACAAGTTAATCTCTCTCTACTCTTGGTAGCCAATCCTCAGCTTTTTTCCTCCCAGAAACGAAATACTTACACAAACACACTCTATTCTTTTTTCCTTCTTCCACTCAATAATCATTGATCAAATCTGAACTATGATGCTATGAAAGCTAGTAATGGTCATAAATTAATCAAAATTTCCACAAAATCATCCTCTTTCAATATAAAGTTTGCAACTGAAAGGTCCTTTCATTGCCCAACTTATTTTTTATGATCGGTCGTAAGATAAGTTGGATTGAGCTGAAAGGCAATTGCTCCGATGGCTTCTCTTGAAAATAGAGATGAACTCTATTTTGCTCAATGTGTAGATGTTTAAGTGGCGAAGTCGTCTACTTCTTGTACTTGTGAAGGAAATAGGAGGACTACATAAAACATTGCAATGTGGCTTCAATTCTACGTATTTGTTTGAGGAGGAGTTGCATGTCAGGTTTTAGTACTTGTAGCGACTGCAGATATGGACTTGTTGATGGAAATTATGGAGAGATACGGATTAGTTTTTTATTTGTCACATCACACGTTAAATCATCAACTCATGGAATGGAAGGTTAGAGTAAACAATTTGTCAACAAAGACTTTTATATTCATTAGCTTAATCATTTTGTCAAAGAAATTTTCTTGGGACTTCTCGTTTATTCTAAATGATACTTTATACTTTGAGTTTTTTCTTTATCTTTTTATTCCAGAAGTTGAGGAATTTTTTGCCCCTACACAATCATATTATAATCTTAAGTAAAACAGGAGGAACTAAAATTTGAAAATCATTCATAAAGAGATTAATAATTATGAAAAGCGTCAGGATGCAGGTCATGATCATGGATCGGACAGGTCAGGACTAGATTCCTGGACATCTTACAATTTGGACAGCTCAGCTCGACATTGATTTTTTTGACATTTAGGATTTTTCTAATTATTATTAGTATTTTGAACATTGCCAACATGAAGTCGTTGTAGTATAGTGGTAAGTATTCCCGCCTGTCACACGGGTGACCCGGGTTCGACCCCCCGGCAGTGGCGCTTTTTGCCCTACACTATGCCGAGTCTACCATGCGCCATCAATCACTGTTTCTTTTCAAGGAGTTTCAAAAGCACTCACTGTAGATCACATGATTGATGATGTATTTACATGCTAAGTATACCATGCGCCATCAATCACTTTGCTTCTTTTCAAGGAGTTTCAAAAGCACTCACTATAGATCACATGATTGATGAGGTATTTACATGCTGAGTATACCATGCGCCATCAATCACTTTGTTTCTATTCAAGGAGTTTCAAAAGCACTCACTATAGATCACATGATTGATGAGGTATTTACATGCTGAGTATACCATGCGCCTTCAATCACTTTGTTTCTTTTCAAGGAGTTTCAAAAACACTCACTATAGATCACATGATTGATGAGGTATTTACATGCCGAGTATACCATGCGCCATCAATCACTTTGTTTCTATTTAAGGAGTTTCAAAAGCACTCACTATAGATCACATGATTGATGAGGTATTTACATGCTGAGTATACCATGCGCCATCAATCACTTTGTTTCTATTCAAGGAGTTTCAAAAGCACTTATTGTAGATCACATGATTGATGAGGTATTTACATGCTGAGTATACCATGCACCATCAATCACTTTGTTTCTTTTCAAGGAGTTTCAAAAGCACTCACTATAGATCACATGATTGATGAGGTATTTACATGCTGAGTATACCATGCGCCATCAATCACTTTGCTTCTTTTCAAGGAGTTTCAAAAGCACTCACTATAGATCACATGATTGATGAGGTATTTACATGCTGAGTATACCATGCGCCTTCAATCACTTTGTTTCTTTTCAAGGAGTTTCAAAAGCACTCACTATAGATCACATGATTGATGAGGTATTTACATGCTGAGTATACCATGCGCCTTCAATCACTTAGTTTCTCGAGTTATTAGTGTTTAGATAAAATTATTTGCCCTAGACTATGCTGAGTATACCATGCGCCATCAATCACTTTGTTTCTATTCAAGGAGTTTCAAACGCACTCACTATAGATCAAATGATTGATGAAATATTTATTTGATGTAACCTTTTTAAGTTTCGTTTTAACTGATGATACCCCACCGATGGTACAAGCATGTTCTAGTATCAAGAGAAGGTGAAGACAGTGAGACTGCATTCGTCATCTCCACTTAGTGCAATTAGCACTTAGATACTTCTTCATCCGATACTTCCCCATTGCACCAAAATTTGTAAAATTACCTTAGTTCACATTCATAAGTACTTCACGTTTTGAATTTACTCCACAGATTCTACGCTGCTCACCAAGTCGAATTTCCGATAGATCAAAACCCAGGGACACTAGTGACAATGTCTTGAGATTGCAAAGGTCCATATGATGCGCATCGCATATGATACGAACTTTAGTGTACAAAAACATGTTTTAGAATTTAGTTATTATGTGACGTAGAAGGTGTAAAACGAAACTTGAAGGTCCCATCAAGCTAATTAGTTTCCGATGTGTACCATCAAGTAAATAATTGCATGATTGATTCTACCTGTTTGAATTAGCATACCTGTCCTATACCAGGTATACAATTCACTTGATTTCCGCTCCTGAATGGATTAGGTTTACAGTCTGGCATGTTTTTTCAAAAAGCATGCGGGGGGACTCTGGTTCTTCGGGACTAAAGAAAAAAGTTTCATTTTACTTTGCTTTGGGAGTTTTGGAAATTTTTAGAAAGTTGTCTAGACACACCAAAGTCAAGTTAATATAGTGTCTCCTACGAACAGGGATTGCGCTAGCATACCTGGATTCTGGTTTTGGTTAAAACCCTGTGCCACATTAAGCATATAGTGCGCTATCAATCATTTGATTTTAATTCAAGGTGTTCTTAAAGCACTAAGCATCGTATAACAACCTCCATTAGATCAGAGTCTAAACCGACGAGATTGTAAAACTTGTAGCAGCAGACACTTCCCGTCATGCCTTCTTCAAGTACAGGACTCGTTTAAACGGCACAGGGCGGACAAGCTCAAAAGTTACCAATGAATGGCAACATTGTGCATTTGCATCAAGGTATTTCAGATTGTAGAAACTGTGGTAGCTCATATTCCGATCCCACATGACTGAATACAGGGCGGACCAGAATGTCTAAGAGGTACAAACGAGGTGAAGAGCGCCATGCATGCATAAATCTGAGAATACTACCGAAACCCTTATTTCACGAAGAAAACTGGTAATGAATCTGAGTCGCGCCGGATCATATATATCATAACTCGTGCTTGTAAAGAACATTGAATGTTCAATCTGAAGTTGATCTGTTACTTCTAATCGTTCTTTTTACGATATTTTTGCAGACTGTGATCCCTCTCAGTACCATCAACCAGCCAATTTCACCGTAACCTTGGTACGTGAGTCTGAGAGAATGAAGAGATTTGTCTGCAAGAGCATTCGTATCTATTGTGAGCCAAACCGATAAGTTTCTGTGGTCTGAACGAGTACGTTGCAGCTAGTGGGTTCACATCCCAAATAATTGATTATGCCGCCGTTTCAGACTTTTCCGCACGATACCAAACACCTCATCCACGTGCAGCTTAGCAGTGAACATCTATGCAATAACTCAGTTGTCTAAATGTTACTACAATGCTACTTTTGTTGTATCAAGATATAAATCTGGTAGGTGTCATATCCCAATTGAGCTGCAATGAATGGTATACCTCCTTTGTCCAGTACTTTGACATCCTTCTACATCTTCCAGAGAAGAATAGTAAGGAGAAAGAATGGGAAGATCCGTCGATGGAATCAAGTTGATGAATCCACGAGTGTGGAGTGGGGCTCGGTCCCGATAGCATCACAATACTATGTGGGCATTTTAAGCCCGAATAGTAGAAGATGTGCTACTCCTTTAGCTAGCTTTCAGTCAGTGTTCAACGAGCTTTGCAATAACACTCCTACATTACCCTTATTCTGCGAATCAAGCAGCTGCTGATCATGAACCATGGCTATTGTTCATCCTGGTGACATTCTACTTTCTTTTCCCAATGCGACATACAGATTCAAGGTGACTAATTGACCTCCAACCAGAGGTATGTCGTATTTTACCTAAGATATTAAAAGAATTTGGATCAAGTTATTTGCTTTCTATCTACTCAGCTTCCGGAGAAGCATCACGTACACTCATTGCTCTCCTATCGATTGTGCCACAATTGCATGGACATGTCTTCGGTTTGACCGAAAAGTTCCACACTCCACGACATTATTGTCACTGTAGTACAGACCGCTATGATTTAGTTCGGAGTTGAGAACTTCTTGTATCGCTGTGTCGCATGAAGATTTAATATTTAAAAATTCATTCTGATTTCTTAAACAATAATGAGGGCTGCTTTTACTGTATAAACAGAAGCAGATAAGGCCGGTGGGGCTAAAATTCGAATCGTGACGTTTCTCCCTCTCTCTCCCTGACCGGAATCGCACTGTGGGTTGTGCAGTATGTGGGCCGTTCAAAGGAGGCGAGAGCGAGCGACGCTAGTCGTTGCTCTGCTGGTGTGCTGTGCTGGAGGGAGAATGGAAGTGGAATGTGGAGAGAAGTTATACACCAAGAGCTTCTTCTCACCAGTATTCGAGACTTCACCTGGCAACGTGTTCGATCGTTTTCAAAATGTGGAATTTCCCGAGGGTCATTTGGCAGTTCGCAGCTTCACTGCCGACATGTTTGATGCGGACACTGGTCAACCAATTTCCTTGTCGGAACTGTACTTACATCACTGGCTCTTGCTAAAATTTGCTGTGAAGAAAGGCTTCAAAGAGCTTCTCAGCTCAGCTCCTCTTGCGGCACGAAATTCCACAAGAAGATACGGTTCCCACTATCTGCATAATCATATGGAACGAATGGCCTTCAGACCTGAAGCTCAGCCCCTCCAGGGACCGCTCAAAGGCCGACAGGTTTGTCATGAAGACGAAGGACCCCAAAGCGACCACGCATTTGGAACTGGGGCAGAGAGCAGACATACTAAACTAATTTTTCCTGCTCCGTATGGTGTTGTGACTGGAGACAAGTCAGAGTATGAGGAAGGTTACGAGGAGGCATGGTACCTAAACGTGCACTCAATCGATCTGAGAGGCGTCGTGGATCCCAGGGGCTGTTTTGAATGCGCCTGCCACTTGTACAATGTCACCGTAGATTACGACGGTTTCCCACTGCCTGATGGCTACAAAGGTGGTCTCAGATGTTGTTATCATTTGACAAACTGTGCACTGAAGCCCGGAGTCCAGGACAAGCCCAGAAGAGTACAGATGAAGTATACAATTAGCTGGGTCGAGTACGACGACTCCGTGAGGCCACTCCGCTGCTTCGTTCTGGACGCGACTGATACGCGTGCTTCAGTCGATGACACTCCTGACTGCAAGGTTTGTTTCAGCCAACTCATACTCGAGTTTGTCCTGAAGCTGTTTCCATGACGTCGTGTGGCGACATATGTATTCGATGCTTCCGGATCGTCCTTGATGATTCTTAGATTTTTGAGACCAATTTTATGCACATCTGTGAATACATATTGCAACCGAAGCTCGTCAATCTGAATATGAAATCTGAAATGAAAATAATAGTTTTGCATGTAGCATCTTCTTTGTTTCCAGGGCCGGTTCCATGGCTCTCGTTTTCCCATTATATATATATATATATATATATATATAAATCCGGGAAAAAAAGAATTCGTAGAATATTAAATAGATTCATGTACATAATACTGTAATAAATGTATATCTTTTATCGAGAACAATCGCTGTGATGTCAGGCCGAGTATGATATTCCCAAGTGCACCGATGGGACAGCACATGAGGAGTGCATCCACACTCTTAAATCAGTGGAAGGGCTTCCCAAGGGAGGAGATCTCATATTCGCCTTTCTTCACCAACATTCTGGAGGTCTAGGCGGGAGAGTCTTCAACGAGGTATGTTTTTCCTCGTTACAAGACCGGCTGAAGCCACATACCGTACTGATTTAGCAAAGTCAGATGGGAATGTAGAATATTGGCCTAGCCCCTTGATACCGGTTTGATTTCATAGAATGACTTCATGAGGTCTTCCCATTCCTTTTGTTATTTAGGCGTAAAAGCTTAGTGCAACTTGATCAGATCTTTCCAGCTTTCAGTCATTGGTGAACACAACTCGTTTGAACGGTTGTCAATTTTGAGGTATCTTTCATACGGGAATTGTCATGAGCGACGAAATGCAATCTCAACCTGTTGACGTATCATCATTCCAGGCTGGTGAGAAATTATGCGAGTCCCTGCCCATATACGGACAGGGAAACGAAGCAGGCAACGAAGCAGGCTTTGTGGTAGGCATGAGTCCATGTTATCCCAAGCCTGGAAGCGTCAAGATTCGAACGATGGAAGCGCTGCGCGTGGAGTCCGATTACAGCAGCGTTGTGAGCCGAACGGGAGTCATGGGTAACATGAAAGTCTACGTTGCGGACACTGTCACAGAGGAATTGGATCCTTTGGCTGGGCGTGACATTGAGCAGGTCGTGAACAGCGTTGAATGAAAAGTGGACGTGCTACATGTTCATTCTTTTGTTTGTCTATCGGTTCAGCGTACCAAGTACGGATTATAGCTCTATATCTGTCGTAATATACTTCAGATAAGAAGCTCGCTGAGCATATTTGCAAGGGGTCCAGTTTGTATACTTTTCAAGTTTGCTTGGGGTTTCTACAACTGTATCGTACTAAATGTTCTGGAGATTAGTCATGTCCAGAAAACCTTGGTCCAACCACCCAGGAAGCTGCATTGGTTGGAGTAGTGGTTTCATGGCCCCTATATACTTGTAGTGCCATAATTCATTTCGGATTATATATGTGGCTAAACCTTTTAGGCTATAGAAACTGTGTGTTGAAAAATCATTTTAGCAGTTAAACACTTATGATTTGAAGATTTGGTTTTCAGTAGTGGAAGAAGATTTAAGCGCGCACTTTTTATGAAAAATTTATTGCTGGATGATGGAACATCTGAGCTAATTTTTTGTGATCTAATGAGAATTGTGAAACTCTTGAATTTAGTTCTCAAACATTTATGAAACAAATGTTCACCGAACCACAACGTCATATTATACTACTATGATATGAATATCGATTAGAACTTTGTCCATGATCTCAACCAATATATATGTAACTGATATGTATCTTAATGGACTCATTTTGTAAACATCTACTTCGTATAAACTCGGAATATCCTCAAACAAGAATTCTTGAAAATTGGATCTCTGATCATGGCAATCACTAGATTGATCTGAAGATTTAGTCTACGGTTAAATTCATGGATGTTGAAGTTTTACACATCCGTATGCGAGCTAGATTACCGAGAAGTACTGACCATGTATTGGGATCGAAAGTATCTTGTACGCCAGTTTTGATCTATAGTATAAGAGTAAATTACTTGATGGTACTCCATCTAAACACAAATTACTTACTAGGACCAAAAAAAGTACCCAACTTACTAGGACGAAATTGGATAATTTCGTCTTACCGTATGAAACCCCACCAACGGCACACCATAGCCAAGTTCTAAAATTTGTTACTGTACATATATGAAGCAAGCTATAGTGTGAGGATTTATGTGTCAAGAGTTGGATTTGTTTGTGAGAGTGATGAACAACCATTCCAGGACCTCTTCCGTCACAACGGACACATTTTAGAGATGCAGGGACCTCTTCTCGTGCAACGTCGCGAGATTGAATGTCTCCTCGAATCCTCAGGTTTTTTCATGGATCCGGGCAGATCCTATTTGTTGGGGAACATCAACAGCGCTCCGCCTCAAAGCTCCTTCTCTTGCAACATGCTCATGCTCCACAGCTCATGACATGCCTATGCTTAACGGAGCTTGTCCCTACTATCCGTGACGTAGATAAATCAAAATTGCTCGGATCGTTGATTAATACTAAAACATTGATGACGTGTGTGGAATTTCATCGGGTGAAACAAAACTTGATAGATGTCAATAAGCAATTTTTGTTACTATGAGATTCCATCAAGTGATGACGTGTGTGGAATTTCATCGGGTGAAACAAAACTTGATAGATGTCAATAAGCAATTTTTGTTACTATGAGATTCCATCAAGTAATTACCTCATATTATAGGAATAATTATCTCGCTTGCTAGATTCATTGATGTACCTTAACTTTCACTCGCCTACTGTTTGAATTCCTTTGCACAAATCACAATTTGATCATAAATTCTTAAACATATCAAATGGTTTTAAATATTCTTTCATGTAGCAGTAAATTGTTGGAGTTTATACAAACATAAAGATTTTCATTACATATAAAATTTATTCATCACTTCTTTTTGAATCATGATGTGATGTTTTTGAAACTAACCAGACGGAAAATATCTTCTGACTTTTTTATCTAAATAGATTGAAACTTTTTAATGTAATGACATTATTATATTTTGAAATACATTGTTAGCGTAAACTGAAAGTTATAAACATTCAACAATCAAGTGACAGTAACCGCAGACACAAAGATGTATCATGATTCATCCCTTTGGGTTACGTCCATGATAGAATGATCACATGTTATCACATGTAGAAAGTTAAACCTCCGGATAGTGTCACCTCTTATTAGTGAAATCCTTCCAGTAGTGACATAGACTTCAAGAATCATTAGGTTTTAACTTGTAAATCTATCCAATAAGAACTTTACTATCACTATTGGCAATAGTGACAGTTCTAATTATATTTTTATAAAAAAATCTTGAATTTGATTCTTTATTGCTCTTATTCCAGCAGAATTTCCAACCTTTGACTTAACTCCAGCTCCCCGCTAACATGGCGTGGAAACACACATTGTATCCTGCCTTGATTCCCTTTCGCTGCCCCAGATCTTTCTTGTACTCGCTCGTCATGTCTACGCTTTTCCACACCTTTCTCTAGGAAAAACGCAAGATAAAATGGAATTGATGATTTTATACCTCAATTTCACGATACAATCTCGTCCATTCTTATTCGTGTTACTTTCATATTGTTGTTTCAAACACTTTAAAGGTGGAAAAAAACACAAATCACTATATAAACTTACTCAGCTTTGCTTGCTCACTTTCCACAATTTATAACTCTTCTTTATCTTTGTGACCTAATTTTACACTTACTAAAGACACTCCAATATTTGAATTTGAAGACATGTTGGCAAGAATGTTACCATTTACCAAATGAGCCGCTAAATATTTAGCTACGCCACTAAACGTGCAATAAGAATGCTTCTATATAATCCGCAAAATGCAATCCAACCTCCTCTTAATGACACTTTCCAATAGTAACTTGAATACCTAGCACCAATATGTGTCATTATTGGGAGGTTGAACTCTGTATATTGAGAGTTCTGTCCGATAATACACAGATCATGGGCATATATACCCAACACTGATGATTAACCTAGCTATAGATAGCTAGAACATGTGAATACTCCTTAATCAAAATTAATCTCAATAATCTTCTCCTTGGTTCTACATGTGCTCCTCATGCACAACATGCATAGTAGCAAAGTGTTTTCTGAAACTCTCCAAAGATATAACTTTGATTAACGCATCAATTAGATTGAATTTAGCGTTAATCGCGACTAGCTCAATCATTGGAGTTTATCATAAATATTGATTAAATCAATTATCATAGCTTACTGCCAATCTTGACTAGTTCAATCATGAGCTCAAGAACTCCATCTGTATCGGTGCTATTTCTTGATAATGATCAAATTCTCCATAATCATATCAGTGAGTGACAAATTTCCCTTATAAGCTTGAGAACTCTTTCTTTTTTCCATTGATTTAGACATCATTCAAAGAAACATCATATTGACAAAAACCTTACATGCTTCTAGATCCCCTAGAGACTATGGCATCCCATACCCTCTAATTTGCAATCATCATAGGTCATCATCTAAAAAATTATATTTCTCAGTCCAAATTCTCCAACATATTGTAATCTCATCTCAACTTGTAAAAACAACTTCCGCGATGATTTACTCCTTTTGAGTAATCTGTCACCTCTTGAAAATGATTCAAGTACACTAGTTGCTTCGAGAGCTTTTCAATGATACATAATTTAACTATATTTCGACGAATAGTTTTTGGCCCAAATATATACAAACAAAATATTCTCTTGGACAAAATCTTCTAGACAAATTTTTTTTGACAAACAGAGTATTATGACAAAATTTGCCTAATTGACTTGCCTGTCGCGAGCTCGCACTACCAACCGGGTTTGCTCGCTTGGTTCTACTCAACCTATAAGACCAGTTCTTGTATGTGTGTTATAGTTTTAAAAACAGCCAAGGAGTGGAGTATGATGAACCTAGACATAGCTAAGTCTAGCTAGTTATAACTAAATTTATCTAGCCATGACTAAGTTTAGCTATAATGTCTATACTTGACAAAATAACGAGAGAACTTCTAGAAAATTTGAGTGAGCAATTTTATTTTGTATTGTACAAAAATCAAGATTCTAAGAAAAAATACTCTTGACTTCATGTCTAGTTTTGATTGGTTTGACTAAGTAATGAGATATTCATTGTCATTAAGTCCAATGTTGACTTAGTGACAACTGGAGTTTCTAGAAGTTGAAAAGGCACAAATAACATGTCGCCACCTCAATGTAGGTATTAGTAAATATCTAGAAGATTTAGGAACCCAATGGTATGCTGCCATGTATTGATAACTAGTCAAATGGATCTCTTCATTTACAACGAACATCCGGATGCATCATCCACTAGGTGCGAGCCTCCATTAGGTGCGACGTCAGCAGATATGGTAGTTGCCACACCTGCTGAGCTCTTATCTACTCCTATCGTACTCAAAACGGATGACAGTTCTAATTCTAGGTTCTCCTTCGTCTCCTCCCAACTGGAGATGAACAAGTTGAGCTTTCTACCTAACTTTCGATATCCTACGACTCCGCTGACTTCCAATTTCTTCACTTGACGCTCTAACTCATCCAATTTCATCCACTTTAGGATCTGGATCTCCCATTCCACATAACTGCAAAGACATCGCTCTACCCTCGCGCACAACGTAGTATCCATCTAATGAACTGTCGTCTCAGTCTCCACCAACTTTGCTTGAGCCGCAACCAACTGCTTTCCAATTTCCGACAGTTGAGAAAGCAATTTGCTGCAATCCGTATCTAATTTCTTACTACGCTCTAACTCCGAAGTCCGGTTAGCTTCGCAATCCTGCAATTCCTTCGCCTTTAGTGCCAATTCAGCAACATGCGATTGGTCTTTTGTCTTCAAAGTTGCCGTCAGCTCCTCCGCGCGCTTGAATTCACTCTCAAATCCCATATGAGACAATTTCAATTTGTCTCGAAGTTCCACCGTTACCTTCTGCGCATTGTTGATGTCGACCCGAAGACCCTTGCACTCCAGCTCCGACTTCGTATGAAGGTCCGTCTCCGTTGCTAAACTTCTTTAAAGTTCTGCATAGTTTAACTCCTTCTGCCGAAGTTGCTCATCCCGCTCCTGCAAGGTAGCTGTCTTGGCCGCACACTTAGAGATTAAACTCGCCACTTTTTCTGTTAGTTACATAGATGATGTCACCTTTTACTTTGTCTTCCTTTTTCGTACAACGCACTAACTCTAGGTAAGATCCTGCTAACTCTGGCTCAACGTACTTTGTCATCTTTCCATCCAAATACCTAAGCAAGGGAACTATCCCTTTGCTCAAAATGTCGGTTACACTAAGTTCTGTTGTCTTCGGTTCTTTGGTCGAAGACCCTTCGCCAAAGTCAAAATCAATTGTACCCAAAAACGCATGACAGGAAGGCAGCGCCTGTTGCTTCACGAAAAATTCTCTACTTCCGCCACGATTCGATCTAGAAGTTCCTCTATCGAATTGGGCTTCATCTCCGGCTCTTCCAACTTGTAATAACCCACTAAAGGCTAAAACTGCAATATAGTGGTAGAAAGGTCGAACCCACAGGGACAGAGGAACACACAGG